AAAAAAACAGGTGGAGTACAGCAAGTTTTGAGGCCAGCTTTGGCTACACATTGAGTTCCCGTCCATCCTGTTCCTGTATTAAAACAAGGAAATAAACAGTAAAATGCCTGGTGACTGGGCAAGGTAGCACATGCCTTTAATTCTAGCAATCCAGTGGCAGCAACAGGAGTACCTCTGTGAATTAAAAGCCAGCCTTGTCTACATAGTGAGTTTCTGGACAGCCAGGGCTACTTAGAACAGTGGTTTGCAACCTTTCTACTGCTGCAACCCTTTAATCAACCATAAAATTATTTTCATTGCTACTTCATAACTATAATTTTACTATTGTTATGAATCCTAATGTAAATATTTTTGGATAGTGGGTTACCAAAGGGGTTGTGACCCACAGGTTGAGAACTGCTAACAGAGAGACTCTCTGCCCCTTCCCTCCCCCCACAAAAAAAACACAAAACCACCACAACATAAACCAGAGCACAATTCAAGATCTCCTCACACCTGTAAGCTCATCTACTTCAAGGCAGAAGGGGAGCTGCCACACAAAACAAATAGTTACTCATTTGACATGAACCAAGACATGCTAGCACATGGGCCTTGAATTCAGAGATCCGCCTGCCTCTGCCTCCAGAGTGCTATAATCAAAGGTGTGAGCCACCACACCAGGCATACGTTTTTGATTCTGAGACTCGGGAGACAGAGGCAGGCACATGGCAAGCTCCAGACAGGCTGAGCTACATGGCCCATTCCAGGTCAGCATGGAAATATACCGTAACAAGACTCTGCCTCAAAATATAACACAATAAAAATACTTGAGATGAAGGCAAGCTGCATTTATAGTCAAAAGCAATGTCTATAATCTACTTGTCAGAAGAAAAACTCAGAATCTCTTGTGCCATTTGGGGTCTCAAATGCCTGAGTGTGGCTAGGCTAGGCTAGACAAGGTATCCTGATGGAGGTAAGTGACTTACCAGAGCTGAACATTGGTCGCAGGGCTCTGGACCCCAGCAGGAACAGGAAGTGATGCCAGGGCTTCAAGCATCTTCTCTGGCTCCTCTGAAGCTTTCCTCTACCCTTTCCTCTGCTCACATCTCCCTTTGAGGCCCACCTCCTAAACACAAACTATCATATGATTGGCTCCACCTGGTTCATCCTTTGGAATAGTGACTGGACCACATATCCATACATGGAAGAGAATGAACTGAGATTCAGGTGAAGGGTCAATTATGGATTCCCTTCACCATGTGTTTTATTAATAAGTGATGTAGTTTTGAATATGCTAGCAAAAGGTTTAATCTGTTCATGATACAATCAGAAAAAGCAAGCCCTGAAACTATCCCTGCAGAGACCTCTGTCCATGCTGAAACCACAACTGTGTTGTGGAGTTAAAAGCTTTTTCATCCTAGAGCCAGGGAAGCAGAGACAGGCCACTGAATTCCAGGCCTGTATGCTCTACATGGTGAGTTCTAGGATAACCAGGGCTATGTAGAGAAACACTGGCTTAACAAACAAAGAAAAGAAAAGAGCTGGGAAGTGGTGGCGCATGCCTTTAATCCCAGCACTTGGGAGGCAGAGGCAGGTGGATTTCTGAGTTCGAGGCCAGCCTGGTCTACAGAGTGAGTTCCAGGACAGCCAGAGCTATACAGAGAAATCCTGTCTTGAAAAAAAAAAAAAAAAAACCAAAAAAAATAAAACAAAACAAACAAACAAAAAAAAAAACTTATCCAGAAAATTGTCAGAAACCTGCAGTGGCCATTCAGAAGACTCAGGCATAATTGCTGGAGCCCATTGTCCTTTTAGCAAAGAGGAATACAACCTTGGTTTTCCTCCTAGAAAGCAGAGGGTGTTTCAGATGGTATCAGCTCATCAGAAGTCCTTCAGAGGATGAAGTCATGGAGCCCATGGCCAGACAGCTTCATGACACTTCATCAGGGCAATAGATTGTGTCCAAGCCTTGAAAGCCCGAGAGTGCAAGCTATGGCAACTTGGGAGTCCCGGAAGGAAGCATGGTCAGGAATGTATCCCTGGCACCACAGTAGCTACCACCTGGAGCTTTTTCACATTTCCTCCAGAAGAGAGGTTTCCCAAGCGACACTGAGAGCCAGAGTCTATGGCCCTTCAACCTCTAAGAACATATTTCCGAAACAAGTTAATGTTATCTGGAGCAAGACTCAAAGACAGGCTGTAATCCAGGCTCTTCAGGAAGCTGAGGCAAGAGGATTTCAAGTTCAAGGCCTGCCTAGAATAGACCAAGTTCAGAGTCTAGACTGTTCTCAATGGAAAGCTGAAGACTCCTGCGTCAAGTATCTGGAAGGAGTTCACCACTGGGCCTGGCTAGCTATGAGATGGCTCAGTGATTTAGAGCACTTGTGCTCTTACAGAGGATCTAGATTCCATTCCCAGTACCCACATGGGGGCTCACAACCACCTGTAACTCCAGTTCCAGGGAATGACAACCTCTTCTGGCCTCCCAAGGCATGTATGCACATGACACACATATAGACAAGCAGGTGAAACACACATACATGTTTGACATGAGTTTGCTTTTCAGAAACAGATACAGTCTTTAGATAACATCAAAATTTATTGAACAACAAATCAACAAGCTACACCAACTTTTTTGTCTATAATTCACTAAACACTGTAATTTCACTTAAGAGTCATAGCTACTAACAACTCAAGCTTTCTTTCCAATCTTAACCACACATCGCACTACAGAAAATGATACATAGGCAACAATACAACTAGGACAAGGTGACAAAATTGGAGATGCCAGGCTTAGAGGGGCAGGCCTTTAATCCCAGCACTGGGAAGGAGAGGCAGGCCATGGATCTCTGTAAGTTGAGTCTGGCCTGGTTACATACCAAGTTCCAGGGGGAAAAAAGTTAAAGAGGCAGGCTGTGGATGTAGCTCAGTGGGTAGAATGCTTACAAGCAAAAAGCTATAGGTTTGGGCCACAGAGTTGGCTCTGTAGGTAAAGGTACTGACATGTCAGTTCAATTCTCAATCCCACACGGTAGGAGTACCAACTCCTAACTCCTACAAGTTGTCTTGACCCGCACACATACACACTGTACATGTGAGCAGGTACTATATAAATGAAAAGCTTTGGGTCCAATCCCTAGAAGAAGCATAAAAGCAGGTGTGGTGCTTCCACTTGTAATCCTAACAATCAGGAGCCAGGGGTATTATCAGAAATTTGTGGTACAGTAAGACTCTGGACATAGGACAGCTGAGTCATACAGCTCTTCCCCATAACATGTAAGAACAATTCCAACCACTAAATTAAACAAGGAAGCCAGCCCAGCTAAGGCACACAACTTTAATCCAGGTGGATTTTGACTGAGGCCATCTGGTCTAATGAGTTCTACAACTGGCAGGCCTACATAGAGATCCTCTCAAAAATAGAAAGGAAGGGAGGGAGGGGAGGAGGGAAGGAGGAGTGGAGAGAGGGAGGGAATGGAAGGGAAGGGAAGGGAAGGGAAAGGAGGAAAAAAGACAAGAGAAGAGAAAGGGAGGGAAGGGAAGGGAAGGGAGGGTAGGGGAGGGGAGAGGAGGGCAGGGGAGGGCAGGGGAGGGCAGGGGAGGGCAGGGGAGGGCAGGGGAGAAAAGAGGTCAGTCATCAGTCATAGATGCATGAGCCTATAACCCCAGCATAGGGACCAGCAGACCCATGGGAGCCCTCTGGCTAACAGTCCTAGGTCTAGGTGAACCATCAAGCTTCTGGTTCCATGAAAGCCTTGTCAAGGGAATGAGGGCAAGATACACAAACACCTGACATTTAATCACAGCCTCATTTGTAGACACAGCACATTAACCACAAAAAAAACTAAAGAGGTTCAGCAGTGAGGCATGTTGTGCTATAGCCTAGGGATAGTCAGGAGCTCATATCAACCAGTCTGATAACACACATTATCATGGCCTGCATCCTTCAGTGGTCTGGGGTGTTTAATATTGTCATAAAAGCTTGTTTTTTTCTGCTAGAGTTTTTGTCTACTTGCCCACATATTCCTTGTTCAATTTGCTAAGCTCATAGGTGGCATTTTATGAGTATAAATATATAACAGTGTCTGTCACAGTAATGCTAGGTGCTGACGGACGCAACAAGACATTCAGTCTCGCCAGGCGGTGGTGGCGCACGCCTTTAATCCCAGCACTTGGGAGGCAGAGGCAGGCGGATTTCTGAGTTCAAGAGTTCGAGGCTAGCCTGGTCTACAGAGTGAGTTCCAGGACAGCCAGGGCTACACAGAGAAACCCTGTCTCGAAAAAACAAAAAAAACAAAACAAAACAAGACATTCAGTCTCAGCAATACAAACCAATTTTTAAATTATTTTAGATTTACGTGTCTGAGTGTTTCGCCTACATGTATGTCAAAGCACCACATGCATGCCTCGTGGCCCCTGTAAGTAGTTCTGAATGGCTGTGAGCCAGCATGTGGATGTGGGGAAGCAAACCCAGGTATTCTACAAAAGCATCAAGTGCTCTCAACTGCTACGCCATCTCTCTAGCCCCCACAAAAACTACTACTGTATAAAATGTTAGTGTTTGACTAGGAAGACGTGAGGCACAGCCACAATGTTAGTTAGAGGAGCTACAAGGAACCAGGTCAGGTGCTATAAGCCTATACTCAGTACTCAAAGTAGAAGAACCAGGAGTTCAAGTTCGTTCCTAGCAGTCAAAAGACTTTAATCATCTAGGTAGGACAGACGGTCCCGTTTTTTACCATAAAATCAGAAAACCACCAGGCTGGAGGAATGCCCTCTCGTACCTGCCCAAGCAGAACCCACTCCCATGACTTCTGCCAATGTGTCTCACACTCCCTATGTCAACCACTCTCACTTTTTTGCACTCTAGAGTCAATTTTCTCTTCCAACTCACAAGAACAGCAGTCTAAAACCATGTGTTGGGCATACTCTGACCAGACACCTCTCAGTGTCCACAGGAGAGCTTAAATCTGCATCTCATTAGATAGATATCCAGCAAGTCCCAACACATTATAGGGATATCACAACACATATTCTCCAGAACAGATAGCATACAACAAGACCTGTTCTTGCTGCCCAGTAGTCCTATCCACATCTACAAACACAATATGAGGCTGAGAAATGACCTCAAAGTCCAGACCTCTGTGATGATCACAGTTTGTGATAAGGCGTATCTTTGACTGTTGGGATTTCTTCTTGACAACATTGTATGCAAGTTCCCTCAGGATAGGCATGGAGACATAGTTCCCATGGAAATTAAACTTGGTGAGCTGTGTACAGCATCTCAGGGCAGGTAGGATGGCACTGAGTTGGGAGTCCATCATTTGACAGCCCTCCAAATCCAGGGACACCAGAGTAGATGCAGATTTTAGTAAGAGAACTCGCAAGGGCTCTGGGCTCAAATGGGTCAGTTTGACCCATTTCAAATTCAGGTGCTTTAGCTGACTTGTACACTGGAACTCAGATATATGGATCCAGTCTGATTTTGAGAGATTACAATCAATCACTGACAGGGTCTCTAAGGGTGTCTTCAGCCACCTAAAAAAAAAAAAAAAAAAGAAACAAACAAGACATTTCAGGGAATATGCATGTGGTTCAAGATCTTCCTAATCACAGAATGAAAATCAGTGCCCATGACATTCCATGATAGACTCTGCCCATTCAAATCTGTACTGAGGCCTGTCACCATCACTGTAGGAACAGCTCAGTCCAAGACTACAATTCCTTTCCACACAGGAGAGACCAACCCAGGCATAATGTCACATTTCCCATCTACTCACCCTCTGCTTGAGGTCAAAACCAACACTGGGTATGGCAGTACATACACATCTGTGATATGATATCACTAGGGACCTGACACAAGAGGACTGTGGAAAGTACAAGCCAATCTTACTCCCAATCTGGACTACACTTGATGATCTTATCTCAAAAACCAGCCTGTCCTTGATGGGGACTGTGCAGGTGTGCAGTGCAGCCCTCTTCAATGCCTTCCTTTTCCCTTTTCCAATTCCCCTTAGACACTTAACAAAGAACTCAGAACCCATTCTCACTTGATCTCATTACTGAGAAGGCTTCCTAGCATGGTACACCCTTTCCAGACCATCAACTCCAGCTTGGCCCTACTCCTTTGTATTAGTGGTTATGTGACCACCTCTCTCTGGGACAGCAGAGACAAAACAATGCCCTGACACTCTTCTAATGCCTTGGTAATGTCCATCTCCCAGTAGCTGCAGAGAGCACATGCCCACTAATGTCTAAATGACAAGGCTTCACTTTATTCTGAGGAGAAACCTGACCATCCCTCCTTACCAGAATAGCTCATCCAGATGACCCTCTAGGAAGAAAACAGTATCCAGATGTAGGATCTGGAGGCATTTCAGTTTGAGGAACTGAGAAGTGAACTGGGTGATAACCTGCTGCTTCTCCACTGGAGTCATAGAGAAGGCCTGCCAGAGGTGAGAGAGAACGAGACAGCGAAGGTTCCTCATGCGGCCCAGGTAAGGGGCGAAGTTAAGCAGGCAGATGGGATTACTGATGCAGTACACACTCAGTTCCTGGATAGAGTCCAGATCCAAAGTCTCCAAAAGTTTTCTGTGGTAATACATGGACATAGCCCAGATCTGCAGCTTGCAACAGCACAGCCTCACAAAACCATTCCTGTTATCCACCCACTGAACGAGGAAGGACTCTGTGGAATCGAGTGGGTTTTCCTTGAGGACCAGGTCTATCAGCACCTCCACTTGCTGTTTCACCTCTGTTCCCGAATGGCCCACCACTGCTGGATTCTCACTGCAACCAGCAGTCCCGAACACAGGCAACCTGTTCCACAGCTTCAAAGGCATAACCCGCAAATCTAGCACTTTCAGCTTGCACCTCCTGTGGGTAAAGAAGAGTCTCAGCACCTAGCATTAACCACACTCTAACTCCCATGCCCTTGTCCATGAATCCAGTCCAGTCCCAGTGGGAAGCAGGGGCAGAGTCCTTCAGCCACTGCTGATGCATGAATCCACTGCCCTTTCCCAGATGGCTCACCAATGGCCAAAGGCCCTGGAGCTTTCCAAGCTGTGGACATCAAAAGCCTCCATTCCATCCTCTGTCTACTTTCTCTCCCCCATTCTACCTGACCCCAACTGTCTCTGCTTTTATTCCCTTCTTTGTATCACTCACCTGTGGGGAACTTCCTGGAGAAGCAAGGCATCAAACCCATGCAGGATAATCTCTAAGATTCTCCTGTAGGCAGTCTTCCTACTGATCATGGCCCCCAGTGGAAGACAGGGGAAGGGCCAGGCCTGCACCATCGCCTTTATGATCCCAACGTATCTATTTCTGCAGGCCTTTTTGAACAGTGATGGGAAGAAAAGTGAGGGTATGTCATCCAGAGCAGAGATAGCCAAGTCCTGGTTCTTCAGGAGGCTGTCCTCTGCCAGCTCCTGGAGTGTGGGTGGAGTCTTGCAGCTCATCCTGATAGATCTTCAGGAAGAGGATTCCTGGGGCAACATTTAGAAAAAGATGTAAGTGCTGAGATGCTCCTCACCCAGAACAGGAGCTAGATCAGGGCCACAGTCACTATTCCAAGAGTGGCAGAGACCTCAATTTTGTTCCTTTCACTCAGTACTACACTGACCACAACACCATTCCATCCCATTGGCCCCAGAACTATGGTCTCACACATCCATAGCCACAGTACATCTTATTACCATCCATTTCCAGTCTAGTCAGTGGATTCCACTCCCAGCAGAAAGTGAGTCCTGTGCACTCTAGAAGTTAAACCCCAGCTCCCTGAAGGAAAAGTGTCATTCAAGATCCCGTATAGCAGCAGGGGATAGGAATGGCAGATGCCATCCCAGCACTCAGGAGGCAGAGATATTCATTCAGTTGGGGGTCAGCTTTAGGGGTATGGTGTTCGGGAGAATAGCAATAGCTATTAGAAAGAAGGAAATTATGCTGAGAATGCTTCATAGGCCAGCACTTGGAAGGTAGAAGAATCAGGGGTTCGAGACCACCCTCAGCTACATAGCAAACTAGGTGTTAGCCTGTCTTAAACATGAAATTATAATTTTCTGTCTCCAAGCCAGAGAGTTCTTAGAATACAATTTTAGGACACACAAACCAAACACAGAACTCAGAGTCAGAGGGATCTCATGAGTTTGAAGACAACCAGGACTATATAATAACATTCTGTCTCAAAAAAAACAAGTATCTTCCTTATTTCAACTCATAATAGAAGACATTATAAACCCATAGCCAGTTTCAGGTACAATGAAGAGGAAGACTGCAGCCCCTTCTCCAGTGCCTTCACGCAGGCATCTTGAGGCATCTTTTTTTTTTTAAGGCAGGGTTTTTACTATGTAGCCTCAGGGGCCTGTTTTTGGGATTAAAGGGAATATTTTAATCCAATCTTTGCCTTTGGTAAATTCTATTGTCATAAATTCAGTATTATACATAAAAAGGCAATCCTCCTACCTCAGCCTGGGAGAACTGGATTGTTCACATGCACTAACAGCTGAACTGAATGTTTATTATAATATTTGAGTAAATGTTTATTTTTTGTAGCATTTAGCACTGAACCTGAGTTTCATACATGTTAGGGCATTGTTACTAATGAGCTACTAGCACCAAATTTCAAACTAAACATTTTATCATTTGTTATTCATGTTTTGTTTTTTATTTTTTTGTTTCTTGTTTGTTTGGAGACATGGTTTCCCTATCTGACCTTGAACTCACTCTGTAGTCTACTAGGCTGGCCTTGAACTCAAGAGACCCTCCTGCCAATGCTTCCCAAGCCCTAGGATTAAAGATATTCACCATCATACCTAAAAAATACTTCAAATGTCAAGGGTTGAATTTCTGTAGGAGAAAAGTTTCTTTTAAGTCTAGAATGGTGACTCACATTACCATCAAAACACTCAAACCTAAGGTAGAGGGATCTTCAGAAGTTTCAGGCTGCCCTGTGTGTTGGCACAGGACAGCCAGGGCGGTTATACATAGAAACCCTGCCTCAAAACAACCAAAACCAACTGCCACCCACCTCCCCAAAAGGTATTTGGCACTATACCCAGTTTTAAAAAAATCTGCCTACCACTCCTCATTAAAGCCCTATGCCATCTAACCTGGCCTGCCTAGTAATTTGGGAAAATATGAACAAATATCTACTCATCACAGACAGAACTCCAACAAGAAACCACAATCATGGGCGGTGGTGGCGCACGCCTTTAATCCCAGCACTTGGGAGGCAGAGGCAGGCGGATTTCTGAGTTCGAGGACAGCCTGGTCTACCAAGTAAGTTCCAGGACAGCCAGGGCTACACAGAGAAACCCTGTCTCGAAAAACCAAAAAACAAACAAACAAACAAAGAAACCACAATCATGCATGACTCTACTGTAGACCAGGCTGGCCTTTTGCCTCCTGAGTGCTGGGGACACCACCGCCTGACTAGCACACTGGTTCTCAACCTTGCTAACGCTGTGATTCCCCCCACCCACCCACCCATAAAATCATTTCATTGCTACTTCTTTAATGTAATAAATCTAATGCAGGATGTGACCCACCCCTCTAGCACCTTGAGATCACTAACTGCCAAGCAAGAACTACACACATCTGGGCAGGGCCAGATGCCCAGATGATGGCCTAAGGGCCTAGCCTACCCCCCATCCTCACAGAAGGCCCCATCTAGTGAAGAACTTCGCATTAAAACGGTTGTTAGTCTGAGGGGACGAAGTTCAAAAGAAGCAATCTTTGGGGCAGCAACTCGGGAGACGGAATGCACGGCTAAACGGGGTGTGCTAGCGCACACGCTTAATTCTAGCAACTGGGAAGGGCAAGCTGGAAGATCTTAATTTCAAGTCCTTCTTCAGTGACACCGGCTCGATGACTCAGCACTTAATCCTAGCATGCCGGAAGTGTTTGAGGCCCGCGACGCACTTATTTCCTGGCCGGCCTCGGGGAGCCCGGCAGACGAAGGCCTACTTCAAAAACAAACAAGAATGCGGGCTCGTCAAGTCTGCACCAGGTATCTACACGGATACGGGGTGGCTTCTGTCTCTTGGCTCGGAGTTGGGTGGTTTTTTGGTTGTTTTTACTGAGGGCTGAAGTGACGCTCAGGCCTCGGCCTCACGGAGGTGGTGAAACCACCGTCCGCTGCGGCTACTGAGGTCTAGCCCGGGTCATTATGGACAAAGTGACTTACCAGAGAGGGACAGAAGGAAGATGTCTCCCCGGCTCCTCTGTGTCCCTGGCTGGCCTCAAACTCACAGAGACCTGACAGGATGGCGCTCCTCTCGTGGTCGCCAAAGCTTTTACACAACGTTCGGCTCCCACGCCGCTTAAGTAAACCCGGACCCCGCCCCCATACAAGCCGCCTCTTGATTGGATGTTCCAGGCTCCGCCCACTTTCACAGGAAATTTTTTTTTCCTCCTCCAACGTTTTGTTTTGTTTTTTAAATCTAGAGCCAGATGTGGCGGGAAAAACCGGTGGCCAGAAGACTGAGGCAGATGCATCTTTGTGACTTTAGGCCCAGCCTTAGCTAAGTAAATATCGGTTCCCAGGCTCCGGCCAAGACTACTGGATGAGACCTTGCCAAAAACAAAAATAAACAAAACAAAAAACACAAAAGGCGGGGACTGTGGTAGTGCCCACCTTTAATTCCAGCGCTCAGGAGGTAGAGGCAGGAGGATCTCTATGACTTTAAGCTAACTAAATATTGACTTCCAGGCTCCAGCCTAGACTACTTGATGAGACCCTGAGTAAAAAAAAAATAAGGGAGGGAGGGAGGGAGGGAGGGAGGGAGGGAGGGAGGGAGAGAGAGAGAGAGAGAGAGAGAGAGAGAGAGAGAGAGAGAGAGAGAGAGAAAGTGGGGCTGTGGTGGTGCACTCTGGTGGCAGAGGCAGGAGGGTTAGGGTGAATTCGAAGCAATCCAGGTCTCTACACAGAAAGCTCCAGGACAATATAAAGACACTCTGATACACACACACACACACACACACACACACACACACACACAGTTTGACTCTGATCTTTGTTCTCCCCACAGGGAAAGAATTAAGATAGGGTTAAAGTCAAGACTCAGTCCACAAACAGATTTTTCAATATGTTAGATGTAACCGTTAGGGAAGAAAGATAGCCAAGGGTTAGTCTAATTCACAGAAAGATAAAAAGCAGCCAGGCATAGTGGCACAAACCACTCTGCTACATAGGGGGAAGAAAATCTGGAGTTCCAGGACAAGCCAAGCTACAATAGTCCAGCCTGTGCTACATGAGACCCAGTTTCAAAAAACAACTGGCGTTATTCTTTTAGGATTCTTTAGCCACGTTAAAATAATAAGGATCCAAACCAGATTCTCTCAGAAAAAAAATTAGCAACTCACGTGCCCAGTGTCACCTGTGGGCTTTTTCTCTTTTGTTTTGTCTTCCTGAAACAAGGCTTTGGTGTATGTAACCCAGGTTGGTCTAGAACTTGCCATGCAGACCAGGGTAGCCCAGAGAGGTGATCCTGTTGTTTCAGCCTATCCAGTGTTAGCTTCCAGAGCAAAACATCACTGCTGGCAAGCCACAGTTTAGGAGACACATATCACCATGCCTGGCTTTTTCGTCAAACTCAGGGCTTCCCAGTCAAACTCAGGGCTTCCCACACACTAGGTGAGTACTCTACCAACTGAGATACACCCCGAGCCTGAGGATATGGGGCTTCATGGAGGAAGAGGGGTGTAAGGCGAAATCTGCACAAAGATATTAGAAGTCTTAGTAGTTGTGAAAGGGCAGAAGAATGTGGCAGATGCCCTGGAACTGGATTTTGGGTGCTGGGACTCAAACTTAGGTCCTCTGCAAGAACAAGGGTTTTTAACAGACGAGCCAGCTCTCTAGGAACTAGACATACAGACCAAGGTAGCTTTGAAAGCCTAGAATTCTGTCTACCTCTGCCTCTTCTTCCTGCCTGTTGGGATTAAAAAGCCTGAGCCACGAAGTCCCCAGCCCTGTCTTTGTTTGAGGCTGGGTCTCCTGCAGTACTGATTATATGTAATTTGCTAAGTGTGTGCAAGAATCGATCTGCCTCCCCTTCCTGACAGTGAAAAATAAAAGACTGAACTACTCTCAGCCAACACTATGTGAAACTTAGTTTAAAAATGTGTTCTTAGGTGTGGGGGGTGGCACATGTCTGTAATCACAACCCTTGAGAGGCAGATCTCCGTGAGTTCCAGGCCAGCCGGGGCTAAACAGTGAGACCCTGCCATAAATAAATAAATAAATAAATAAATAAATAAATAAATAGGGGTTTTTTAAATTCTTTTTTTTTGTATGTTTATTTTTATCTTCTGTTTATGATGTTTGGCCTATAAGCGTTCCTTGTGTGTGTGATCCCTATGGATGCCATACCCCCTGGAACTATAGTTACAGGGGGTTGTGAGCCCCTGCCACATAAGTGCTGGGAATTGAACCCAGATCCTCTACAAGTGAACAAGTACT